TCAGCCGCCCGGGGCGGAGGAAAATTTCGCCGCCCCCTTATTTAGGTATCTCAATTTAAAAGACTAAAATTCAGTTTCGTCACAGAATAAGTAATGAAAAATTCCGTGCTCATTTCAATCGGTCCGAATCGTAGGTACGACAAAAATATGAAATGAAATAGTTCAAATTTTTACAAGATATTATTATTATTTATTGTGAAATTTTGCCGCTCCCTAAAAGTGCCGCCCGGGGCGGATCGCCCCTGCCGCCCCCACCACGCTACGCCACTGGGCTGAAGTGGAATATAAATTGGACATCTGTTATGCCACTATTGGATCACTTACTCAAATGTGTTTGAATGTAAAACATCGGCGAGTTTTTATACTAAAAGACAACTTTTTAATTAACCCTCCGTTTAAACATAGCTTTTGTAGAAGATTCGTCGTTGGACAATAGATGTCGTTCACTAGGCTTGCTGTGATTCGAAAGACTATCAAAGCCAAAATTAAAACCCTAGTGTACTATGTCAATACCGACGTCGTAATACACGCGATTTATCGGACGCAAATATGGCTACATTAAGTCTGATTCTAATTCGCATCCCAAATTTCTGACACGAGAAAAGTCCATAAAAGGTGTTCGTTATAGTAGAAAAAAAGAACAGTATTTTCACTATCTTACTCATAACCCTGTTTAAATACAGTTTATAATGATTGAAGTTAATCAGTAATAAATGACAAATAAACTAATAGATATTAATAAAAAATACTTTAACCTCATTTTTTGTTCGTAATGCCATTCTCTCCTTTTACAGGTGCATACATATACAGTATATATTGTATAATTTATCATGGCTACTAGATAAACTAGATGGGTCGTCCGGTAGACTAAACTAGCGAGTAGCGTTAGCATGTGTGTATTTTTAAAGGGGTTTATGCATCGTTTTTAAATATATACGAGAATATTTGTAGTAGTGTAGGATGTTATTATTGTATAGATTCAACTTAAGTCATGTTGAATATTAAAATGTCTTTAAAAGAAATTTAAATTTAAAAAGATATAAATTTTTAAAATACTCTATAATCAGTTTACAATATAATTCAAAAGTTTTCATAAACTGTTTTATTTGAAAATTTTATTCTTATAAATTAATTTTATTAATTATTAATGAATCGATATTATTTTGTAATAATTTAAGATATTTTTATTAGTATTCTTATTCATATTTTTCTATATTTAAGAATAATGTATTTTGACAAATATTCTTAAAATAATTTTACGATTGCAAATAATTCCTGTATCTTTTGTTTATATGAATTTTTAATCATTTATTATTCACTGAATGAAACATATTCATCCATTAATCGTCATTATAAATGTAAGAGTATAACGGGATGAGACAAAAAAATCTGGACTGAGTTTAAAGCATCATAACGTTTGAACTCAAAAATTTTTAAATCTTCGTGCCAAAAATTACGTCATTACAAATGCTCAGTTACAGCACGTGAAGTTTTCGAGCATTCGCGAGTCAGTTCGGAAAAATAACTTCAAAAGAGGCCACATTCAAAGAGCACTCTGTACAAATATATGAAAATAAAGCGAACCACTCAAAAATTGTGGAGGAGCATTTTTAGCCGGAGGCCATAGCAAATCAACTGTACAGTATATAATATTTTGAAGAAGTGTGAAATATCTGATACGTGGAAAAGTAGGCCAGGAAGTAGAAGCAAGCCGACCGTTACAAATGTACATTTCTTAGCATTTGCATGCCGAAGAGACGACACGCAAATGCCAAGAAATGAAATTTACTATGCAAGCAATGAAAATCAAGCACCTCCTGAAATGAAGTACAAATTTAAGAAGAAATTTGAAACAAAAGTTATGCTGTACATTGTCATTTCACCAGCATATGTTTTGAAGCCTTTTTTTTAAAGAAGGGATCTCTTGTAATTGATGCCGATACGTAATAAAACGAATGTTTAAAAAATTTTAATCTCTTCTTAACAAGCATCAACAAAATGACAATTTCATCTTTTGGCCTGACAAAGCTTCGCTCACTACACAAATTCGACCATGGAGTTCCTCTAAGCCAAAAACATTTATTCTGTACCCAAAGAACATAATCGATCAAATCTACTAAAAAGCTGGTCAATCATGGATTTCTTTGGTTATTTGGCACAGTATATAACACTCAAGTTACTTCAATTTTTCGATAAATTATTATACTTTAAAAACAGTCGATTTTTTGGTCTCACCTCACCTTCAATTATCACATTTTTCCCGTCACAAAGAAAGAAAATTAGAGCGGCAGCGCCGAGAATGGTCACAAAATTATTACGAATAGTCCATATTAGGAATAAGAAGCGAGGCCACCCCTAGTAATTATATATTTCGAGTTCATTATGCAGCATGCAATATATCGCCACTTTAATGCAAATAAACGTATTGCATGTTTTTTATATATTTCGAGTTCATTATGCAGCATGCAATATATCGCCACTTTAATGCAAATAAACGTATTGCATGTTTTTAATTAATTAAAACATATGTGATCAGAGTTAAAAGTAAAACTTTTGACTAAACTTAATTAATTTAAATCTGTTACGATCGCGTATATGAATGCATTTTAAGTCTGAAAATATATTTAAATTTAAAAAAAAGATTCATTTTTTAAACACTTTAATTGGACGACTTAGAATACACCAACAGAGTTTAGTTGGATCATTTAGATAACCTTCACCTCGTGATACGTATTAGGTAACAGATACCCATATTATCCGGATGGCCAAAGGGATTTCCAGGCACATGAGAAATTACTCTATTGGTACATAAAATGATTGGACAATCTACAGTATTTAGATGTTCTTAAATCCGTTCTGGTTTACAATGCCATGATTGCTTTGACATAAAACGACATAAAACATTTCAATTAAATCGTAAGCATTTTTAATACTGGGAGTCCGAGATTATATTCGATTTAAAATCCTAACACAAACGAATATTCCCAATTGCAATGACCACAAAATATTCTACTCTAAATGAAATGATGGTGCCACACTTATAACACCGTCGATTTCTTTTTCTATTGTTAGAGACGACCGGAAATTATATATATATATATTTTTTTTTGCTTAAAATAATAATACAACTGGTGATGACAGATCACAAAATTGATTTTTTTTCCTCCCGTACAAATTATCATCGTACAACTGTTCACATTCTGGTCACAACCTCGTTTATCTTTCATTGTTATTTTTTTATACAATGGATTAGTATTGGTAACACAAAAATAATTTAAATTCCTCCAAAGTGTCATTTATTTCGTGTCAATATTGCTTTTTCTCTACAAAAGGAAAATAAAAAGCAAACATCACAGCCATATTACCCACAACAGTGTTGTGCAATTACTTATTTTTTCCTTTTTTTTTCTAAAATTGTGAAATGTCTATAACAAAAATAATTAGTGCATTACTTTATCTACCACAATTAGAATTTTTTAAAATAGGAAAAATCCATCATTGTATATTTACTATACAGCAATTATTTCTTGGCAATCGTTCATTTGCCATTGGTGTTGGTTATTAATGATATTATATTCAAGGAAACATTCGAGATAAACAAACATTACTACTAAAAACAAATATATCATAGCATGGAAGAATTCTCAACATCTCAAAAATTTACAATCAATAAAATACTAAATCAGTTCTACACTTAAATGTAATTTTAATTTTTCTAAAACATGATTTACTTTAAAATAAATTTAATAAAACTTAAAACTGTAAAAGTTTTTAATAAATAAGTATTTTAAAAAATAATCTATTAATTCTAATTATCATGAATAAAATCGAGAAATTAATTACATTCTGCTATAATAAATCATTTGAATAAATTAAGTACAAATTATTATATTACAGTAGAGTCCCATTATTCAAACTACTTGTTAAAGGATTTGATGGAGTGCTAAATTTGTTTAAAAACAAATTAATATAAATAAAAGCACTCCATATAATAAAATTCTGAAATTCTTCAATGTATAAATTCGTTAGAATTTCAAGTTTCGCAATTACAAACTTAGATATGTTTGTAATTAGTACATACAAAGTCATACAATAGAACATTGTTACTTTCGTCCCCATTGATACCAGATATTTGAAAAAATGGACATTGACTAAGTACTTACAAGTTAGATTTTTCAGTTTCAAATACTGAATATATTCGATGTTTGTGCAAAGTTATAATGTCTAGGAAATAATTTTCTTTTGCAAAATTTATGGATTTAAAGAGTGAATTCTGTTTAAAATGATCCATGGACCCAGTATCTAGATCAATAATGTTATCAGATTGTCTACATATATAACAAAGTTCTATAGTATAAATAGTTTTTATGTACTGTACATAAAGAATTAAGAAATAAAAGGCAATTCTTATTTTGAAGAAGTTTTAAAAATTTGAAATTTTTAAAATTTCCTTGATTTCTTCTTAGAAATAATAAAAAAATTTATTTAGTGTTATGACTTTTCTTAAACAACTAAAAAACATCTACAATAATTTGAATATTTGGTGCTCTCCTATAACCAAAATGAAAAGTGATAACTAATACTGTCTATTACCTTTTAAAATACTTAAAAACTTAAATTTGAATTTCAATTTATATATAATACATAATTATAAAAAACTTAATTCATACAACTTTCTATAACTTAGTTTAAATTGAATATATCCTTCTTAGATTTTTAAAAAAATCTTCCATAAATTATTATAAATAAGGAGTATGACATAACTTCAAAAATTCAAAAACCTATCTTGAACTATAAGAATCACTAAAAGTTTAAATTTAATTTAAAATAAAACTTTTTTGAAAGGAAAAATAAAAGCAAAATATTCTTCACAAGAATATCAAAAACAACAATCACTATTGTATAACTAGTAGAAAATAGAACTTAAATAAAAAAATAGAGAGAAATAAATATAAACAAAACATGCTAATATTTTTTTTCTATGAAATACCTATTGTTAATTTGTGCAATATTATCAGCATTATCAAGGTTTTGGACATTTCATTATATTTCCTCTATCTCTTTTTTATCTCTTTATATACATTTTACAAAATTTTTTGAACAATTACAATATTAATATTTGCACATGCACTCAATTACATTATGTACATCTGTTCAGCACCATTTACAATTTAATCAAATAGACAATCTAGAATATAACAGGAACTGAACACCAAAAACCATACAATGCATTTGATAAAACGATCACAGAATTAAGCACTATTTGATCATACAAATAAATTACAGAGCTATTGATATTTGGAATCAATAAGTTATGCTAAACCATCATAAATGAATAAAGATGAGTTATTAATTTCAACTTAATACAAACTGGTATTAGCCTTATTAAGGGTATTTTTAAATAATTTTGGTCTAAAAGATGATAATGATAATATTTCACTGAGCTTCCACCTCTCCTAAAACATAGAGCAGTTGAAAAGCTGCAGCCAGTAATGCTGTTCCCAATAGATCACCCAGAGCCGTCAAGTATGGAATTGCTGAATTGTCAGGATCAATCCTCCACCTCCACATCCAGTGTATAAGGCAATGTGCTGTATACAACAATACTGTTACCTAAAAATTGCAAATATTTTCATGTTATTACAGCCCATTATATCAATACAAAGATGCTTAAATACACATTTACATATATAACTTAGCATATATATATTTTTCTTAATCCATATTTAAAATTTTTAATACCTGTCTTCATATTTAATATTTAGTCTAGATTCAGTTTATGGTTAGAAAAAACTTTTAGCTTATAGTCAATCAATTAATCTGTAAAGTTTGTTTTTTCTATCAATGGAATATGTGAATTGTGTGACATAAATACATTTACTGATTGCTAAAATATATCTGGTAACATCTATCAGTTACAACTTGCCTTTATTAAAGAAATTTATAACCCACACTAATTATTAGAATACCTAATTCAATTAATTTTAAACTTTTTATTTGAAAATTTTTCTTGTTATGACATATTGTTTTGTCTACAAGTTAGGTGATCACAGTAGAATTAGTAAATTTTATACTCTGAAATATTAAGAACTGAATCATACTAAGTTGAGTGTGTTGATTATTTGATTAGGATAATTGTAGACTATCTTTTAAATATAAATGATTTCCATAATTTTTTCATTTATAATTCATTTTTGTGTGTTTTATTATCTAATACTATAATCCACACAGCTAAAGGGTAGATATAGGTCAGTCTGAGCTGTAAGGATCTATGTCAGATGAAAGGGATAAAAGGAGACATGTGATTAGTATGTGAGTATGTTAGAATTAAGAATAATAAAATCTGTATAAAAATAACACAATCAAAATTATTTATGATAAAGATGATGTAAGAATGTTTTGGAAGTTTTTTTTACAACAAAACAGTCGAAAGAGATCAGATCCATGTTTCTACTGCTAAAATGTAAGGGAGTCATATGTCTCCCTTTCATCTGACAGACCTTCCAGCACAAGCTGATATCATGCCTACTCTTTCACTGCACAGATTATAATTTAAAATATAAAAGTGAGTGCAACTGCTATAAAAATTTCTTTAATATGTTAAACTATTATAATATCTATCAAAATATAAATTATTCTCTAATTAGCTAACATATATTGCATTTTTAAGTAGCCTAAATTGTTTTCATTGCTACAAATTTCATGATACAATCTACAATATGAAAACTTTGCATCAGGGAATAACTGTAACAAGATTGTTTACTTAAAATTTTAATATTAAATTCTTTTTGTTTACAATCATTTATTAAATTATATTCAGGTTTTACATTATACAGAAAATTAACTTATTCATCATGATGATTGACTCCATGTTATAAAGTGAAATTCATTAATGCTAAAACAAAGTTTTTAAGGAGTCCAAAATAAAAAGTGATCATTTTAGCATTAACAATATTCACTATATCAATTTTAAATGTGTTAAAATTCATAATTTCTAAAATATTTCAAAATAATAAATTCCAAATTTTCCAAAAATTCTTACATTTTATATATATAGCATATATATGTAATCATAATAATAAAATTTATATGAAATAATTTATTTACAAATTTTAAAAAATTTTGAATTTTATTTATTTAAAACAACTTACAATAACTTTAAAAGAAATTTGTATGAAATAGGCTATTATAATTTGCAAATTCAAATAAAGGATTAAAATATATTTAATAAAAGGCTTGCTAATTGTATTCTTGTTAATATTCTGTAATTATAAGATAAATTTTCTTATAAGAAAAAAAATATAATTTCCTACATCCTTACCTGCAATAATGCTGCAGTAAGATAAACAACTAAGAAAAGAAAAGTCAATGATGTATGGCCGGCATTTAAAAGGCGGATAACATAGGCAAAAAGTATGTGTCCAGGTAATGCCATGAATAGAAGTAATCGAGCTGTTTTAGCATGAGCATCTGAAATAAGTTTTAGAAAATAAATGAACAGTATATTTTTGAAAAATATTACATAGAAAAGTAGTTATAAAAAATACTCACTTTTACCAAAAAATACAGAACAAGGATTAATGCAAGGATTGGATTCAGTAGCAGGTAAAGTACCCATTTCTGATCTCTGGTGAAGATATGTTGAAATCCTACTTGCTTGAACTGCAACAAGATTACCTCCCACTCCTAATTATGATATTAAAAAAAAACAGTGAAATTTCATTTAAATATTATAAAAGAATTATGTATAAAACAGATAAATTATATATTAACTAATTTTAGATTATAAAATCTCTCTCCAAAATAAGGAAAAAGTTTTTCATGCTAAATGCAAGTTATATATTATTGATGTAAGATAAAATACTATAAGCTGTTTCAAATCAATCTATTAATAGCTAAACAATAACAAATACAGAAAAATCAACTTCATTATTAAAATTTATCCTGTTTTAAAACTAAAAATTCAATAAATACAATATCTTAATATCATCAATGTATAAAGCACGATTATATATGAATCTTTCAAAATTTTGTAATCTAATTAACTAACTACAAGTGAACCTGCATATTCATTCTGAACAATGTAGTAGAGTCAGTAAACAAATGTGTGACTCCAACCGTACCTTTTTTAAAATGTCTCACTGCAATTCCTTTTTCTATAAGAAAGATACCAGTGGGTATCTGAATATTTTTATCTAAAATTTCTGTATAAAATGTTGTACTAAAATTGATGGTGAGCATCAAAAAATGGATATAACAAATTTACCTTGGAAAAACTTTTGAGTACATAAAGAAATACACTATATCTTAATAGTCAAAAGAACTCCATTTACATTTAAATCAATAATTAACTAATAGATAGGTTATGACTGAAGTTTTTATCTCTAAAACGTGAACGTCAAATGTTAAGCGCCTCCATCCTGTAAGCCTAGATGTTTGACAATGGCATTTGGAATTTTGAGCATGATTCCAATGACATTCCAAATGCAATACAGAATGGCAGTGCTCAACGTTTGACGTTCACATTTAGAGATGAAAACTTCAGCCACAACCTCTCTAATAAATTATTTTCAAGAAAAAAAAATTAAATATAATAAAAAAACAAAAAACAATGATTTGATGAATGACATAATAAACTGGTCCGTAAAATAATTTCTTCACTTAGGCTACTACAAGAGTAGTTAATTTTCTCATAGTTGACTAAACTGATATATACAGTATAATTTTAAAATATAAAATTTGGAAAAAAAATCAACTAACTTGAACCAACAGGTGCAATCGTGCCAAGAACTTAAACCAGTGAATAATAAGCTGACACAATCCTATTAATTACATTTTACAGTTTTATATCATTCTTTTAATTTGTTGCAGTTATATTCTGATCTTACTTTTATTTTTCCATTGTTTTTCTATTGACTAGTGTTTCTCAAACAGGATCCCGGTTGTTTTATTAACCCGGGAAATCCCAGCAAATTTCTTAAAAATTCACTTTTTTTTCTTATTTTGTGTTAAGGTTAAGAAATTTTGCAAATAAAAAGCATAATTATCTCATTCACTGTCAGAATACATTTGTATTTATTAATTTTAAACCTATCTATTAGTTTTTTTTTTAAATTTTTGCTCGTTATGGCATGTTACATTTGGTCGATAATCAATACGTAGCTTATTTGTGCCAGGACTCCGAAAATTCTTTACTTGTAATATATGGAATAATTGTGCTTACGCTGTCTTAATTTTTAACCATGCCCAGTAGCTTCAATAAATGCGTAACGCCAGATTGTGCAAATTGGGCAAAGATACAAACGAGTATAAAGTCTGCAAGTATGAAGTTTTTCTTCATAAACCTGATTATTAAAGCCAAACGAATTGCCGAATTATTGAGCCATAAGCTTGATGCCGCTATTAAAGTAGCCGAAGTAGACAAATCAAAAATACTAGAGAGCAAAAGAAGTACTACACTCTCGAAAACAAACTCGAAATCTTCCAGGCTACAGGTGAAAAAAACACATAATATCTGTCTTCTCTTAAATGCATTAACACAATTCCAATCGCATCAATTGAATAGGAAAGGGCATTTTCAGTAGCAAGACTTTTCATTACTAAAATAAGAATTAGAGTGAGTGATCGGAGTATTGATTACCTTTGCTTTTTAAAATCTTTTATAAGATTTTAAAAAGCAAAGGTGATCAAAAGTTTACAATATTTTGTATTATATTTTATTTAAAAAACGAAAATTACCTTCTAAGTTATAAGTCTGATCTAAGTTCAATTTTTAATTTTTAACTCAATTCAAAGCATTTTTGTTGTTGTTGTTGTATGCAGTTTCTAGCAAACTTTAATAAATTTTTTCTATTTGTGAAAATTTCTACGTAATTCAAAGGTAATTTTTATTATATATCTTACACAGCATTATTAATATGATTTTGGATGATACAGAGCTTTAAAATTACTTTAAAAAATGAAAAATAATTATATCATTTAATTTCAAGATATTTTGTATACCTTAAAAATAACTTGATTCTATCCCGGGATCCCGGGAAACAGTTCACTTTTATCCCGGAATCCTGGGACAAGCAAAAGACCGGGAAATGAGAAACCCTACTATTGACTGTTTTAAGACTAAATTATGTTATGAAAGCTATAATAAATAGTCATAAATAACTCAAAACCAACAGAAAGGCAGTGAAAACATTATTTACTTAAATTAGTAAAAAAAAATAAGCTTGGCATTTCCAAGAGATATCATAAGTGTTTACTTTCCAGCCACATCCTATGACTAACTAGAAGTGTTCAGTGGTTTTATCCACTCAGCCATTGGTAAACCTTAAATTAACAAAAGCCATTTTCTGAAAGTATAATAGACCTTGTCATGTGAGATACACATAACATTGTGCTATGTAATGACCATTATTTAATATCATTTTGACGTTTAAATTTATTGAAATGTCCATTTTCTAAGAAACTAATTTCTTTAGATAAAGACCCCATTTAATGCAGGGGATATGTTCATAGACAACAAAGCACTAAATGAAACAACATTAAACAAGGTCGTTTTAACACAGTAAATAGGAAAAGAGGAACACACAGCCAAAAATAAGCAGATTTTATTTTAATTTTAAGCTATTTTTATATTAATTTGCATAATAATATATGTTAAATAACACAAACATATGCACAAAGAAATGTAATGTTCATTTTTTGTGATGAAGGTCCTGGCTTTTCTGAAATTCTTGTAATTTGCTATAAAGTCATGTAGTTTAATTCGTCACTTTTTTTTTTCTTTTGTTAAGCAAACATCAGAACATCAGTAGCAGGAGACCACATCCAAAATGTCTCGTCTTGCTTTTGCACTCCCTTCAAAATCTGGATCATTCGCTACAATATCAACAACTTCAGTTATTGTTACCAAACTTTCACTAAGGAAATCTGTAGAGAAATTCTTTGGGTTCTTTGTTTACAGAATCACTATTTTCCAGTTCTCCATGAATTCCTTGTTCTACCAGTTCTTGAAGGTCGTCATTGGTAAGGCTCTCACCAGAAACCTGAGGTAACTTCTCAATATCCTGCTGTATTAATCAGGTTGACAATTTAGTCAACCTCATGATAAAGTGATAGGCTCTTCTCATTGAGAATTCTTGGATACCTCCAGCCATAACTTCTTCCACACACTGTTCATGCATTTATCAGTTAATTCTTGCCAAGTGAAGTTGATATTACCTATGGCAACCATGATGTTATATTTTTTCCAAATTTTCACCAAACAAACATAGATTTAAAGAAAGTACAGCACTATGACAAATTGTCACCTTTTGCTAATTGGTTCGTGTTCAGGAATAATTGTATTATATACTAGCTGCAAGGACCTGCTTTGCTGGGTTTTTATTTGTATGTAATATAGTTCTTTTTATATATAAAAGACTGTTTTTCTAAGTAATCTAGAATCTAGCTGCAAGGACCCGATTCGCTGGGCAAAAAGTAACAATAGTGAAGATTAAGATAATTACACTATAGCCACTCTTACCCGTTTTCACAGAATGCAAGAATTAGGTCCCCCGTTTTCACAGAATGCAAGAATTAGGTCCCCCGTTTTCAGACTAATTAGAGAATTTTTACATGAGTCTAAAAATATGTTCTTTCCCGAAAAAACCACCTGTAAATCTTGCATGCTGCTTTATATTAACGCTTCCATTGTTAACACTTCCACTGTTGACACTTCCATTGTTACACATCTTCGAAGTCAACCACTTTCAACCCCATATCTCCCACACCCTTATAGCACAGAATGCAAAAATTAGGTCCCCCGTTTCCAGACTAATTAGAGAATTTTTACGTCCAGCCAAACGAACTATTTTTAATTTGATCAATTTTCTGGAACATTTACAATCGTTCTATAATCAAACCAATTCGAATTTAAAACGGTTCAAACATTTTTAAAATCGAAATAGAAAATCTTCAAAGTCAACCACTTTAAGCCCCCATATCTCCTGCACCCTTATAGCTATTAAGACGCAACCATCATAGTGCACGAATGGAGACTTGGGGCTACTACCACATACAAACATCATTCATGTGCGATGTGTAGTTTTGGCTAAAAAGTGAAATATAGGGACACACACGTCGATTTTATATATATATAAAATTGACGTGTGTGTCTCTATATTTCACTTTTATATATATATGTGTCCCTATATTTCACCTATATATATATATAGATGAATCAATGGAATGGCAAACCACATTATATCGTATCAGCATTAAACAAGGTCTTACTGTACTAATTAATTAAAAAGTATTTTTCTCACTTCACATTTTACCAATAGATAAAATTCTTTGACACTGACCTTGAAGTTATCGACTCTGCTCAAACACATCCAACTCCACAACACTGATTCTGACATTTATTAATTTTCAAGAAAATCAAATCACCTTCAATTATATACATTGAGAAGGCTTTTATTACATGCTAATTAGAGGTATAATCAAGTCAAGCAAAAAAAAATCTAGGTGGAAGCTTTAGTTTTTTTAAAAATAAACTTTTCTCTGACTGATCCAAATTCAAATCTTAATATTCACTCCCTTGAAATTCTGCTACTTAAGGGCTGTATAGAAATTCTTTGATTGTCTATAAGAGTACAGAATTTCTTATCTATCTATCTATCTATCTATCTGAGTATATACTCACTGACAAAAAAATTATGTACCCAGATAGAATTGTTCAATTATAGCAAAATTCAGCATATAACTTTGTCTTGGACAGTTATATATGAGCTGTTCACATGCCAAATCAATTAACTCCATTTGTAAATCCTTAATATAATCATTATTATTTTAACATTTTTCGATTAATTAATTTTATATATTGTTATATTAAAACATAGCTTTAATGTAACAACTTAAAAAAATACATTCTATTTAAATTTAAAGTTTAAAAAAGAAATTTTAAAAAATTTATATTATCAATTTTTATACTTTTTGTTTTATGAACTTAATTGATTTGGCAACTGAGCAGCTCATATATGCTTACTTGAAAAATCCACATTTAAACACGGTCATGCAACTAGTCTTTGATGCACTGCTTTTCAACATATGAAAGGCAGTGATAGCGAGTGCAATATTCTATACTTTATTCTGATTAAATCACAGAGGATGAAGGATAGCGTATGAAATACCCTGAAAAATCCATGCAGAACTTGAATCTGGGTTTGTCACAGTAGCATACAAATTAGATGCTTCAAGACATCCAACCATCTAATATCTATGATTAAATTTAATTATACAGTAATAATGATAATGTAATTGATCTTTTTGAAACTATTGTATTATTGGTTGCCATGCATTTTATTAAGTAAGTGTGTGTGTGTGTGTTGCAATTTTTGTGTAATCCAGATTAAATTTTGATTATATTTGTTTTATGTTCTGATGGAAAGTATAGTCTACTTATTTTAAAAAAATATTAGCTATAGAATAAATGTTTTATTGATTTTGGATCAGTGATTGCACTATTGTTGCAGTGATGTCAGTGACCAAGTGATGTTCATGCTTGAGAATTTCCCTTAAGTTATACATTTTTAAATATTTTGGCAAATGGTGTACTTTAAACTTCATTAAATTCAAAATTTAAACTTAAAAATGTTGCTTCTATAATACATTTAAAAAAAATCTTTCCACAGTGACCATGCAATGTTCTATTATACAATCAGAAGTAACAATCTAACAAGCCCATTATTTAGAAAGTGTTATCACTCATCTAATTAACATATGTACAATTCATCTTTGAACTAAATTATCAACTTTGAATTAAAATGACTCGCTATTAAAAAAAAAAAAAGCCTAGGGGAAACAGTAAGAGTAAAATTGGTCAGGTAAATTCTAAATCTAAACGAATAAGAACAACTGACAAGGAGAGCCTACGGCTTTGGGGTAACGGATTTTGATGATCTTTGGTGTAGAGGTAGTACACGATGTTAGTGTACTATCTGTAAAATACTAAAGTGCAATACTCAAATATAATCGAGAAAATCGAACTTAAAGTTTTGTTAGCACTTTATATATAAATTATACGTACTTCTATTCGAGCGTCCTGTGGCAGAGTGGTAACGAGTCTGATTCATAAGCTTGAGTTCTCGGGTTCGATTCTCGCGTATAATTTTTTTTTTAATTCATAAATACTTATAATGTATTTATTTATTTACTCATTCATTTATTTCTTATTATTTATTTATTTTAATTTAATTTCTACTATTCCAAGTCTAATATTTTTATACTTTTGTTGACAATAACGGCGCATTCTTGACACCTATGTGTCAACTTTCCCATCTAATTGTTATCACTAACGGTGACCGATCTAATTCTCACTAGGAGCGTTTTTTCTATCGGAGTTCTTTTTCACTCACTCTTTAACAGTTCGTTTCTAAATTTCGACACGAATAGACGTATTTGTGTAGTAAAACTTATTTTGAAAAATTATTTTATAATCGAAAAATGTCGTCAAGAGAAGCAAGTTCTTCACGTTGTGACGAAAAAACTGTTGATGATACCTTTTAAAAAAGCAGCATTTATTTGTTGTTCTTGGTGTAGACAGAATTTTTGTTTTGAATGTTTTTATCATAAGTATCATTCACGATCATGTACATCTGACAATGATATGTAATTATATAATATTGCTTCAATAAATTATATTCGTTTTTCTTGGTTATATTTGAGTTTTGCACTTTACAAGTTAGTATTTTACATCACTGTATAAAGAGTTATCATCAACAGTTTTTTCGTCACAACGTGAAGAACTTGCTTCTCTTGACGACATTTTTTGATTATAAAATAATTTTTCAAAATAAGTTTTACTACACAAATACGTCTATTCGTGTCGAAATTTAGAAACGAACTGTTAAAGAGTGAGTGAAAAAGAACTCCGATAGAAAAAACGCTCCTAGTGAGAATTAGATCGGTCACCGTTAGTGATAACAATTAGATGGGAAAGTTGACACATAGGTGTCAAGAATGCGCCGTTATTGTCAACAAAAGTATAAAAATATTAGACTTGGAATAGTAGAAATTAAATTAAAATAAATAAATAATAAGAAATAAATGAATGAGTAAATAAATAAATACATTATAAGTATTTATGAATTAAAAAAAAAATTATACGCGAGAATCGAACCCGAGAACTCAAGCTTATGAATCAGACTCGTTACCACTCTGCCACAGAATGCTCGAATAGAAGTACGTATAATTTATATATAAAGTGCTAACAAAACTTTAAGTTCGATTTTCTCGATTATATTTGAGTATTGCACTTTAGTATTTTACAGATAGTACACTAACATCGTGTACTACCTCTACACCAAAGATCATCAAAATCCGTTACCCCAAAGCCGTAGGCTCTCCTTGTGAGACCCCCAAAGGCCATGAGGACTTGAGCAACATTAAGTAAGAATGGCTTCATGAAAGGCTGCAGAAACAGCATCACAATGTCCAGCTCAACTTGAAAGCTCTTCTCAATTCTTCATCTCTACTTTCTCAAAAAAAATATTCAGTCATGCTTGATGGAAGAATTTCTAGTTAAATAATACTTACCATTAATAACTGGCTGGAAAACAGCAAGGCCACTGAAACGTTCTACAGCATAATCTAAAATGCATCCCCCTACACTGAAACAAGTAAGGTACATACATAATGTTATTAAATCAACAAAGTTTTAATTATTAAAATACTTTATAAAAATTAGTACCTAGAAATTAATACAGCACTAATAACTGGAATCCATCCACTGTAAAGAACTTTTTCTGTATATTTATTTCCTCGAGCAATAAAACCCCATAAAGGAATGAGTAGCATGAAGACGACCACTAAGGAAGGTGCTAGCCATAAATCTACATCTGAAAAAGTATGCATTATAACATATTAATAAAAATAAATAACATTGACATATTTTGAAAATTTGTAATAAAAACATCAATATATTATTGATGTTTTTATTACAAATTTTCATTTTTCAAATTTTTATTACAAATTTTCATTACAAAATAAACATGACAAATGGCTACCTATTCTTTGAAATAAAAGAGCACTGATTCCAGCAAGCAAACCTAGAGTTGTCATATCCCCCAAGGAAGCAGCTATTGGTGTAGATACATTGTCTGGATTGATTTTAAATTTACGAGCAAATACTACAATACCCATAGTCACTATACCTAAAAATAAATGAAATATTGATATATAAGTTTCATTGTCAAAATAAGATTAAAAAATTCATTAGACTAAAACAAAAAAATTACCTAAAGCAACACTTGCAATTGAAGCTGTAATTAATGCACTAGCACAGAGAAGAACAGCATGATTCATATCAAATTTTCTTGCATTAATCCAATCAACAACAATGGCAAATACAGATGCCAGAAATCCCACAACTATTGCTTGACACTGTAATGGTAATAATTATCATTAATAATTTGATTTGTCTTTTATATATACATACAGTAAAATCTTGTTAAGAGATTTTTGAAGAGACTATCTTGGGAAAATGTCTTAAGCTTTTTTAATCTAGGTATTTGACTACAGAAAAGGTACAATGAAATATAATAGCTATAGCATTTTAAAGTACTAATCTTGAGTGACCTGCTTCTTATTTTTATTGCAAGCTTATAAGATATAAGAGTCTAGGAAAAACATATAATATTTACGCCAATACATTATATAAAAATATCTTATATGTGTATAAAGATACTTACAGTATGATAAAAAGACACAGAACTAGTTGAAAAATAGAGAGATCAAATGGAGACCATCTATTTATGCTGATTTTGAAATCAATGTTAGTCAACTGTTTCTTCCTTCTAATTAATCATAGCAAGAAATTTTGGGAAGGAGTAATTTTCAAATTCAAATACAAAATTTTTAACTGTTGAAATTTGTCAACCAATCAAAAGCATAATTACAATTTCTGAATGTTAAATGGATAGATCAATTAGAAATCATTTAACTGATACTGGAATCAAACTTCATGAATTTCATTTGTAATCTAAACTTTACAGTATGTTAGCATTGGACTGGATTTTAAATTAATTAACTTCATAAATTTCAGTAATAATTCATGATATCAGTAATATTAAATGTTATGCTGCTCTTCTGTCAAGACTACAGAATCTCTGTGCCTGCAACACACAATTGATCACTGACATATGATCATTTTAAGTGGGTAAAAAATGCTTACACCAATACTTTGTAATGTCTCATGTAAGAATTTTTAACACACGTCTTAGGGCAAAATGATAGGAAATGTAGTTTAAATAACTTAGATGAGAAAATACCTTTATCGGATTTTACTGTACATTAAAAGACAAATCAAATGAAATTATAAACTACAGTCGACCCCCCTATAAGATCATTGATTATTCCGTTTTATATGAATTCCATGTTGTACGAACCACTTAGATTTTACAAATACATGTACCGGGCTGTGAACGGCTCACATATTTGTAAAATTTAAGTGACTCGTACAACATGGAATTCATATAAAACGGAATAATCAATGATCTTATACGGGGGTCGACTGTAGTTTATAATTTCATTTGATTTGTCTTTTAATGTACAGTAAAATCCGATAAAGGTATTTTCTCATCTAAGTTATTTAAACTACATTTCCTATCATTTTGCCCTAAGACGTGTGTTAAAAATTCTTACATGAGACATTACAAAGTATTGGTGTAAGCATTTTTTACCCACTTAAAATGATCATATGTCAGTGATCAATTGTGTGTTGCAGGCACAGAGATTCTGTAGTCTTGACAGAAGAGCAGCATAACATTTAATATTACTGATATCATGAATTATTACTGAAATTTATGAAGTTAATTAATTTAAAATCCAGTCCAATGCTAACATACTGTAAAGTTTAGATTACAAATGAAATTCATGAAGTTTGATTCCAGTATCAGTTAAATGATTTCTAATTGATCTATCCATTTAACATTCAGAAATTGTAATTATGCTTTTGATTGGTTGACAAATTTCANGTAATGTATTTATTATATTAGTATGTTGTTTACAACATCAATTTAAACATTTTCTGAAAGTTTTAGAGCAATCTGACAATTACAGAAAAAATGATCACAGATTTTCAATTTTTGAGTGTTTCAAAAGTATAAACACAGGTGCATAAAACTAGTATAATAATTTATTTTTTAATTATTGGTTTAATTGAGTGATACTTCCCTCTGGTGACAACTATTATTAAAAACATGGTGCCAACTTTAAATGGTTTTTGTGATTTAAACCAATGCCTCATGGAAAAACACTAACAGAGTTGGAAATATATGAAATTTACCAACAAAAAGGACCAGGACAATCTCTAAGATAAACTTTGGCAGCTATAAATTGATCCACACATGCTGTGAGAAATGTGTTAACTTAGGGTGAATATTATGGTAGAAATAAGCGATGTGAAAGGCCTAAACTCCTTACCCCTAGAAATGAAAGAAAGGTTTATCAGTTACTGACGGTCAACAAGTTGTCTGTCAGAGAAGCAGCATCAACATTGCCAATTGCAGTTTCACCAGCAACTGTATGGAGATGTATGCATAATCATAAAAATGCCAAATTTACAAAAATGGCTGCAAAACCAAAATTAACACAATTGCACAAAACAGCTAGATTAAAGTGGGCGAAAGACAAGATGACATGGAAAGGGGTGTGGAAACAAATAGTCTTTTCAGATGAAAAAAAGTGAAATTTGGATGGACCTGACAGTTATAGTTACTACTGACACGATTTGAAGAAGAATGAAGAAGTCAGATCGCACAGACAGCAAGGTGGAGGATCTGTGATGGTGTGGACAGGATTTGGATGGGAAAGTAAAACTGATATTGTATTTATAGAAGGTAGATTGAATTCAGAAAAGTATCAAGAACTGTTGTATCAAAATTTAATAACTTTTGGATCACTTATTGGGGAATAAAACTGGCAATTCCAACAGGATAATGCTGTCATTCATACATCAAAGTCAACTAAAAATTGGTTTGCTGAAAAAAAATTAATGTAATCGATTGGCCATCACGGAGCCCTGATATGAACCTGATAGAGAATGTTTGGGGCATTACAAGTCATCTTGTTTATGACCAAAACAGACAATACAATACTGTAAATGAACTGAAATTAGCTATCATGGATTGTTGGGAAAATATTAAACAAGAACAACTTCAAAATCTAGTAAAATGTATGCCTGATAGAGTATTTGAACTAATTAAATCAAATGGTGGACTACAAAATATTGAAACATCACAAATCGTTTTTTTTTGTGTACATGTGTTTATACTTTTGAAACAATCAAAAATTGAAAATCTGTGATAATTTTTCTTGTAATTGTCAGATTGCTCTAAAACTTTCAGAAAATGTTTAAACTGATGTTGTAAACAACATACTAATATAATAAATACATTATAATTGTTAATGTTTTGGTTATTGAAAAAAGTTGGGTGTGTTTATAATTTTGAAACGGACTGTACCTGTACTAGCCATTTTTAGGGGTTTCTTTAAATATTAATTCACAGTTCTCCGAATTATTACACATTTCTCATTAAACTGTATTTGGTTTATATCACGTATGTTTTCTCTCTGGTGTAAAGTGACAAACCCATGTTTCATTGCCTGTAACTACATGTTGATCATGCATGGGAATGTGCCAACATACAGGGTCAAAGGTAACAATTTTCTGGCTCACATACAGTAGTTACAGGTGATGAAACATGGGGTTGTCACTTTACACCAGTGAGAACACAAGACTCCATGACCTGAAACACCCACAATTGTCTATGTGCAAGAAATTCCAAAGAAACTCTGGAATTTCTTTGGAATTTCCTCAGTTCTCAAACTTATGGCCAGTATTCTGGGATCATCAGGCATTCTAATAAATTGCAAGACATCCTACAGGCATACACTTTGTGAAAACCCATAAAATTATGAACAATTTCATACATAGTTGTCTAATCCACCATCTCTACAATTTCATGCAATTTCACTCATTAATTTTCACAAACAATGCCTTCAATATGTCCAATGTTCCCTTCAGTCTTCCTGGATGAAGGCCTGCCTCCCTATGTCATTCTTCAATAGCAACCTGTCCAACTTTAAAATTGTTGCACCAAAACTTTGTCATTGCATTATCTTCATAGATAGAAACCAATTCACAATGAATTTTGCTGGCAATGTCCCTTTTGCTTGCAAAAAATAAATAAATAAATAAAATTATTTTGCAAATGTCCATGATGGACCAATCTTGCAACTGAACTCAGCCACTGGATAGCAGCATCATTTCTTTAGCTTGGTGGTCATTTCAAAGATTATGAACGGGACTATCTATCCACCTTGTTTCAGCTCATTCCTTCTCACATTTCCAAGAAAAAACAATTTATTATCTTACTTTTCTAAAACTCCTTATAAAAGAAAATTTCTGTTAATTAGCAATACTTCTTGAAGACGTTTATAAATTTATTTTGAAAATTATAAACATTTAAAAATCTTTCATAATGTTTGAATTTATCTATCTTATTTTTTTTTAATCTAAATTTTAATATTAAATTATAAATAATACACTTTTTAACATACTAACCTGGACGAGTGCTAAGTTTCCTCCTGCAATTTTCCACTGTTCATTTGATGTATCTAAATTTCCCAAATTAGCCTATAATAAATAAAGCTTATAAGCAATAAAAATTAACCTAAAAATAGAAAGTGTTTTAAACTGAATAAACTTATAAATAATCTATGCAAATTAATTGCTTCTAAATAGTAAGATAATTTTTTATCTAAGTTATATAAGAAATACAAGAAAAGTTTTACTATCTTAATGCTAATTGCATAATGCTAATTGACAATAAATTTATATTCAGAGAAGATACGATTCCACATCTACTAAAATCTTACATGTATTTAGATACACTAGTTTCCAAAAACAAAATTTATAATTCATTACTGTAAAAATTAACACAATTAATAGTGAAAAGTTGTGTATAGAATTACCTTACATATACAAAAATTGGTAGTCATTTGAAGTTATGAAAAAAATACAAATTTACTTACACAGAAAGTATTGTTGCTGTTTTTGCTCTGTGACCAAGAAGGATATTATCCTTGCTCTTGTGGGACTGATACTGACACAGACACCACATGAATGATTTAGTAAAAGGCAAGATTATTGGCAGGACATCAGTACATCAGTTGCAGACAGAGGTATCAAGGACATTAAATGTGCCACAAAATGTCATATTTAGACTTTGGGCAACATTCTAGACAATAAAAAAGATTAGATGCAAAACAGAAAGTGAACAAGAAGTAAAACCTCAACAGGACTTTTATTTGACATTAACTCCACATCATGACAAGGATATGTCTAGGAGCAATTCTCTGCAGAGCTATCAATGGCCTCAGGAATAACAGTTTCATGATAAACTATCTAAAAGAGGCTTTGTATATAAACTCTGCCAGACATCTGTTGGTTTGTCCCACTCACAAAGAATGGCTGATTTAAGATGGAATCAGGAATATCAAAACATTGTTTACTGACTGATTCTCATTAGATCACAATATGGCGGACCTACTAAAATCCCATTAACATTAGAGACCAATTTGGACAGTGATTTCATAATATGGAGTTATGCTCTATGGATACTTAACTCCATGTTTTTCCATTACTGGAAAAAGATATAACATTCTGGAAATTCATATGACACTTTTCAGAGGTATCTTGGTCCAGACTTCCTATTTTATGAATGGTAATACTTACACACAAGACTGTGCTGTGCAATAAATTTTTTACAAGAGAAAATATTCATCATATAAAGTGGCCAGCAAGCTCTCCAGATCTGAATCCACTTAGCATATGTGGGATGATATAGGAAGGCAAGATGCATCCTGTCAATCTCTACAAAGAATCTTCAGGGATTCATTCTGTTTTTCTTTAAGAACAGACCTTGTTGCTGACAAAGACAATTTAAATTTAAACAACGTTGTAATTAGCATGGTGAATCACTGTGCAGCATGCCTGCATAAGCAATTCATCTCAACCATTTTATGGCTTTAAAATATGAGGGTCAATCAATAAATCCTTAGGAAAAGATAGAAAAACAAATTGTTTTAGGTACATTTTTTTTATTTATTTTTCAACATAATCTCCTTTAAGCTCTATACACTTTTCCAAGTGTTTCTCCAATTTTTTTTAAAATCTAAAAAGTAAGATTTCGGAAGGTCCTCAAAATAGGCATCTATTTGGGCGATGACCATCTCGTTTGACGTGAATCATTGTCCGCCAAGCCATTTTTTAAAATTTGGAAATAAAAAAAGTCACTGGGGGCCAAATCCGGTGGATGTGGTAATAATTCAAACTTTAATTCCTTGATTTTGGCCATCGAAACTGCACAGGTGTGCACCCGTGTATTGTCTTGATGGAAGAGGATCTTTTTCTTTTTCAAATGAGGACGTTTTTTTCTTGATTTCTTCGCTCAACTGGTGCAATAATGATGCATATTACTCTCCAGTTATTGATTTTCTTTTTTCCAAGTAATCAGTGTACATTATTCCACATGTATCCTAAAAAACTGTGGCCATCACCTTCCCAGCTGATTTCACTGTCTTCGCCTTCTTTGGAGCCCTTTCGCCTTCAAAGACCCACTGTTTTGACTGTTCTTTGGTCTCTGGAGTATAATAGTGTATCCACGTTTCGTCCACAGTTATGTATTGATGCATAAACTCCAAAATGTGAAAAAGTGCCAAAATAGCCTCAGAGGTGTGAAAAAGTGCCAAAATAGCCTCAGAGTCGACCACACAATTAAGTTTATTCTCCACTGAGAGCAAACAAGTCACCCATCTTGCTGAGATTTTTTTCACACCCAATTTTTCATGCAAAATTGAAAACACTGTACCTTGTGATATGCCTGTGGCCTCAACTATTTTATGCACTTTGATTCGTCGATCACTCAAAACCATACCGTGGATTTTGTCAATCATTTCAGGAGTAGTTTCTTCCACTGAACGTCCTGAATGATGTTCATCTTTTGTGGATGTATGACCATGTTTGAACTTATTTACCCAATTGTAAACAGTTGCAAACACAGGAGCAGGTGTGCCATGAACTTCATCCAACTCAGCTTTGATCTCTTTCGGTGTTAAGCCTTTTAAATATAAGTATTTAATCACTGCTCAAAACTCACTTTTTTCCATTTTTCTAAATAAATAAAAGTTTCTTGCTTCAATCGACAATAAAAATTAAACCATGTGATGGATATGACTGAGACTTTCACAACTGTCTAGTGAGACATGATGCTTACAAAAAACATGCCATTTTTGAGGCTACGAGCGCCATCGATTGGACTTTCTAAGGACTTATTGAATGACCCTCGTAATTACTATACGTTTTGGCACTTATTGTTTTCTTGTTTTGCATAAATAAAGTGAGTTCTTTGCAATCCAATTGTATCTATCTCCAGAAAAAAAATTATCAAAATGTTTTAACTTGTTGAAAAGTCACAACTGTTTATGTACTTTATGCAAAACTTTTGTGAATAAATTAATATGTTTCATTTCTTAATTAGTTTATTTCTATATTATATTTGGAAAGATGTATGAAAATGATTAAGATTCAAAAGAAAATTGAATGGAACTGTTTATGAACTTCAGATGTTAATTCTGCTTATATAAGCTATACATTAATAATTAAGATTGTTACTATGCAATATTAGATTACATGTAACAGATATTTTAGAGAGACATATTGATATTATAATTTTGCTATTGTGCTACTTTATAGAGAAACAAGTTTAGATGAAATGACCTTACTGTAATTAAATGTGCTACTAATTATTGGCTAGTGAATTTTTCTATTTTTGTACAATCATTTGTGAACTTCTATAAACAGAAGTTCACAGATAATTATACAAAAATAGAAATATTAAATCATATCCAATGCAAGAAAGTAAATTTTATTGAAAGTAAAAATTGTCTTTAATAGAGCAAAAATGCAACAAAAAAATGTATTAGTACTTTTGAGAAATCTTTTGTTATTGATTTTTTGTTTCATTAAAAGCAATTTTTATCTTCTTAATTTTATTGTGGAATTTATATAGTTTTTAATATTTTATTGACATCTGAATAAATAAGTATTTTATTATTCTAATAATTAGTGTGCATACTATATCACTTGTATATGTAAAATACTTTTTTTGGTTTGTTTTTAATGTCAAATTATTCTTTTCATTAGGTTTAATTACTGTTCTATCTTTGTTTGTTAAATATTCAACCTGCTGATGGCAATAAAACATCCCAGAAACTAGAACTTTATATACTAATTAGTTTATGTTTACCATGCACATTGAGTATTCAATCACAAATGTTTATGGCTTTATTCAGAGGCCCTCTTCAGATAATTATAACTCTTGTTATTTCATGAAGAGGCTTCTGAATGAAGCCAAAACCTTCGTGATTAAATACTTAATGTGCTGGAAGTTGTATGTGTAGCACTTCGTGGCTATGATTGTATTATATTTTTGTCTTTTTTTTTTTTGTTTGTTTTCCGTTTATGTCGCGTCGCGCGTATAATTTGTACCGTTTCCCTTCCGTTTCCTTCCTCGGTGCCTCCTGTTAGCCGATGGCTAAGTTTCCGGCGTCTGATTGGTCCGTGACAGTGTGACGGAGTTGGAGGGAGTTATAAAAGCGGGTGTAAGGAGTAAGAATGAGGACTCTTGGACTTTTTCGAGAAAGAAAGGGAGAGAACCGCAGACGAAAAAGGAGAGAAGAGCGACCGAGAAGAGAGTGGACCGTTGGTAGAAGAAAGGAAGTTGCGACTCGAAAAGAAGAAGATTCCCCATCGAAGCACACAATCGGACCGCTACAACAGAACCCTTGCAAGTCCCTTAGGTACTCCGTCCACAATATTTTTATTTTCGGATCTATATTTAATTGTCGAAAAAGAACGGGGCCTCGCGTGAGGAAGGTTAACGGAAAGGGGAACGTCAGGCTATTTCGTTATTTGTTACCATAACTGTCTGGTGTTGGACTGTTTATTGAGATATATATTGTACCGCGTTTTTCTTTTACTAAAATAAACCTTTGTTTGCCTGATCACACGTGTCTACCGATTTTTCATTGTCCTTCCCTTTGTTCTTTCTATCGTATATCTGTAACCGCAGACCACGTGCCTTGTGGAGTTCACATTGGCGTCCGCGACACGATTGTGAATAATCGGCCAAGCGTGTGTTCCCCATTTCCGTATCGTTTAAATCCGGCTGTGTTCAAGGCCCTATTGTATGTACATCGTATTCGTATACGAGCTGCCATATATTCGGTTCCCAGTCATTAATTTAATTTTTTTATGGAAAATCATACTGTAGAACCATCAAGAATGGCGATGGAGGGGGTTACTAGTGTCCCCATTGTTACGGGATTTATGGGGATGATCCCATGTTTTACGAACTCGCCGGGCGATGTTCTAGATATATACCGCTTCTTTGAAACTGTAGAAGACGTGGCGTCCCACGCCGGTTGGGACGAGGCAGTCAAAATCACCGTCATTCAGGCCCGGATTAAGGGGGAACCGCTGTCGGTATTTTTCGATCTAAAGGACCAAGGCATCAAAAGTTATGAAGAGATAAAAAGGAGCCTTATCAAATGTTTTGATCGTAGGGACAGAGAACAAGATCCGTTCAATCAAGTCTTAAAAATAACACAAAAGAGAGGGGAGAAGGTCTATGAGTACGGGAACCGCATAAGGTCTTTGTTCTCGCGCGCCGTAGCTCGTAACAGTAACTTGGCCCCACTCTGGGATAATGCTGTAAAAGAGTGTTTTTTGAGAGGGTTGGATGCCGACATCCGGAGGCAGGTAATGCAAAAACATCCGGAAACCTTGGACCAAGCAATATGTGGGGCAGAGGAAGAGGAGAAGATTGAGGCAGCTTGTGGGAGAAGGGGAGTAATGAACGAGGTGTGCACGAATTCAGAGCACAGGGGCTCGGTATCTGAGAAAGAGGACAGCCTGAACAGTCGTATGGCAAGGCTTGAGGAACAAATGCGGGAATTGAAGGAATCTGTCGCGTCATTAACAGAGTGTATGAAGGGAGGTGGAAACCCCGAAAGAAAATGGGGCAATGAAAGAAGATGTTATGTGTGCGGGGAAAAAGGGCACTTTGCTAGGCAGTGCGATAAGCGTAGACATTTAAACTAATTGAAGGCCATCTGGAAGGTCAGACAGATGGCCAGAGTGTGAAGCTGAAACTGACCAAAGGAATTCAATTGTCCAGACGCGGATTACCGACAATCGAAGGCCTAATGTTAGGTACCAAGATTAATTGTCTGATTGACACTGGCGCGGAAAGGACTGTGATTAAAAATGAGCTAGCTGAGGATATAAAGAAGCAAAATGGGAGTTGGGTAGTATTTAATGACTCGTGTATAAGTGGGATGTCGGGGGCCCGCCTGAGAAGTGATGAGGCTGTAATGATTGAATGTACGTTTGAGGATGGTTGTAAAGTAAGCGCTAAGGCTCCTAGTTTAAGTTTCCCGAACGGGGCGGAATATGACTTAATTTTCGGCATGGACGTTATTTGCCAACACCCGGAGCTGCTAACTGGAATTAGGTTAATTGTGACTAGCACGAACTCAAGGAGGGAAGGGGACTTCTCCATTAACATAAATACTGACCTAGGTAGCGAGATGGGATCATGGAAGTTGGACCATCTTAATGAAGGGGTTAAGGAAAGGATCATCGATGTATTAAAAAGGTATCCGAATGCTGTAGCTAACGAGATTTCAGAGTTATCAGGAACCAAGGATTATATGCACTCCCTTGAGGTGAATTCGGAACGCCCAATTAACGTGAAGCAATACCGTATCCCGTACAGCTACTTGCCTGGCCTCAGAAGGCAAATTAATGACCTCATTAAGGCGGGGATCTGTGAAGAGAGCACTTCAGAGTGGAATTCCCCGATACACGTGGTTCCAAAGAACTCTGGTGAACTCCGAATCACCCTAGATTTAAGAAAGATAAATGAAATAACGAAAACACAAGTTTTCCCGATGGCTAGGATTGATGATATATTGTCCCAGCTTAACGGGAATAAGTATTTCTCTGTCCTAGACCTGAAGGCAGGTTACTTTCAAATCCCCTTGGATCCCGAGGTAAGGCATATCTTTGCCTTTTCTACTCCTTGGGGTAAATACCAACTTTGTCGCATGCCTCAAGGGGGGAAGAACAGTGGGAGGTTTTTTCAATATATC